AATAGTACTCCTATTTGTTATATATACAGTATATATTTGCTCTCTAAGAGTAAAATTAAAACATTTGCAGTGAAGATTTCTGAAGAATAACTGAATATTTCAAATGTCTATGTTCTTCTACACTTGTTTTAGAATTATTTAGCTAGGACTGTAATATTTTTACTTTAAATTTAAAAAGGTTCTTCATACAACATCAAAAAATGGCTTGAAACATGTTTCATAACACCATAAAAATTTCTGGACTTTCACATTTCACGACTTTCAAATTAATAGCTTGCTAAAATAAAAAAAAAAATCCTTAATAATGAGATAAAATATAAAATCCCTATTAAAACATAATCTTGTCCCCAGGATCAGCATTTTGCTTTCAGTGCTTTCAGTTATTAATGAAGAAAGTGCCCCATATAGATGTACTGTAGCAATGAATTTTATCATTAACTTTTTGGCACCCTGCTGGTGTTAATGGGTAGAGTGCTGTACACCTTGGACCAGTTTAGTAGAATATGCTACTATGTACCAACAGAACATTTACATGAGTAACCATTCTTAGTACAGTGACCATTCTGACCTCTCCAGCTGATGAATACCACAGGTAATGACACATAAAATAATGCTCAGCAGGATAAGTATATGATACTAGTTTAGCTGTACACAGCAAAATTCTGGTTAACTACTGTAGGTCCTTCCTTTGTTAATGAATTATGCAAGTCAGTTTGGATGTACAGGAATAGTGAAAGAGGGACAAAGACAGCACAGGTTCTTTATCATTTAGCTGAGCTATTTTCTATAACATTTTATTGTTTCTCTTAGTCTTGATTTGGCAAAGCCCTATAATATTACTTAGAATTCTGCTAATGTGAAATCTTTGGCTGAGATACTACTGCATATCACTGTACATTATTAATTGTTACGGTACTGTAGGTATTAATTTTGGTATAGTGAAGAGAATAGACAAGTAGCAAATGTGTGAAAGGTGAAAAACAAATTTATGTTAGGAACCCTTTTAGCATGTCAACCATAGCTAGTACATTGGCCACAATCATAGTTATATGCTGCCCACTATTTATGATGACAAGGGATTTATGTATATTAATTTTAGTTTGCTGACGTGTACAGTATAGACTCTTTATTCTCAGTAAGTTTGCTAAGGATAACTAAGAACGGTTACATTTTATAAAATCAAGTTATTATACACAACATATTTCAATTAGACATGCCTGTTTTTTTCTGAATATTACATTTCAATGGGAAGTCATTTCAATGCGAATCTACTACTCATGCATATTTAGACTTGTGTTTAAAGGCAAAAGAACATAATGAGAGGAAGCCATCTAAGCCAAAAAATTGCACTCATGGACACTCAATTCATCACATGGACAGCACTAACTCTAGCTCTTTTTAAACCATTAGGAAAGCTAAGATATCATTTCCTTTATTAAAGGTACTGTAACAGTTGCATTTTTGTACATCAATAACATCATTAATAGTAAGAAAATACAACTGATACAACACATCATAAGCAATTTTCATTATATTTGGCTTTATTTGAATTTGAAGGAACAAAAAAAATAACATCTTTGCAAAATGTATGAGACATCAGTCAGCAGCACAGTGCCATTACAAGCTTTAGTTTCCCACATTTTAGTGAAAGCATTACAGCCTGAATACTTATGACAATACTCAGAGATACATACTATTTTTTGGCTGGATTAAAAATGTAATTTATCTTGCTAGCTAACTGACTGCTATAATGAACATCTTATTATTACTTTCTTTACACGTTTTCACCTCCCCCTGCCCAATGGGGTTTTGAGATTTTCCCTTTAAAACTACTGATTCGAAGATAACATCACTGTTGTTAAGATTAATTTAAACATTAATGCTCCATATGTTTTTCCCAGATGTATTGTTTCATATGTTGCGAAATATTGGTTTGTAATACTTGCACACAAATTGTAAATTTGTCCAAACTGTGTCCAAAAGTTTGCAAAAGACGGAAATACCTCATACTGTGAAAAGACTTTGAAAATTTGTTTGCTTTACAGGTGATCAGTTCTGATGAAGTGTCTCCCAAAGTTGGTCAGCTGTAACATTACTCATTGATTGTCACTTGAGCAGAGAATGGATTGGATTCAAAGATTGGAAGATGCACTGTAGAGTTTCTGACAAAAACAAATCACCACTGCCTTCTAAATTGTCCATGAGCTAACAAATTACATTTACTAGGAGTTTACATTTTAGGTATCCATTTTCTGACACTACTGTAAGGTGAGATGTTCAGAGCTGTAAACAAAGAAATGAAGCTCCTGTCAATACTGTATGTGTGCAATATTATTATTTCTAATATTCCATTATTGACTCTAAAGATGAAATATTTTAATAGCAATTCACCTGTGAATAACAAATTTCATACTCACTACATGTTTGTAGTTTTCTATCAGGTTAAAAAAAGAAGCTTCTGCGACATTATTGTTACTATTATAATTTTTCTGCCATTAGATTTCACCATCCATCTGTCAACCAGTTTTATTACACAATACCTCCTCTGGGTGCTCACCAGTATGAGGGCACCAATTCTTAATATTAACAGTAAAGAAGTGAATGAATGCTCAATTGCGTGCTTCCAGACATCTCGTGTGTGTGATATGAATGGCCTGTTAGATATGGGACCAATTGGATTGTGTTACCTTGCAAATTAAAAGCCACGCTCATATTTTATGGTTGTGTTTTGTAATTTGTAGATTGCCTGAAGTGTTGATTTATTGTAGACATAGATCTCCCCCAGCAGTGCCGACATGGAATGGGATCAATTGTTATTCATGAAAGAACAAGTCAAACAAACTTCACTTCTTTCATAACCTATTACATTTGATAAGTTTTTGTTTCAGGAGTTTACAAGATATTAAAATTATTGATTAATGCATGCTGGAGTACTCCTCTATCACTAAGTAGTGTTCACAAAGTAAGTATTGTTTATAAATAAAAAATACTTAGTGGATACTATACTAGAATACTGTAAAAGAGTATACTATAAAATAGTATATAGTACTATAAGTAGTATAAATACTATAATGGATGCATTCAGAGACATAACATAGACATTTATTTTTAAATGCTTAAAATGTTTTTAAAGTTAAAAGGGAATGAAATGGAGATGTCCTAGCTTTATATCAATTAAAACTGTACACTGGGTTTTATGTTTCACTGTATACCTCCCAACACTGACTCCACAATGAATGCATTTTTAAAAGGAATGTATCTTTAGATTGAGCTCTATGATGGAGTGCATTGAGTTGGAGTTAAATGTCAACAGCTCCTCAATGTGAGTGAGATGCCTTGCTAGATGTGATTATTTATCTTTGCTGTGCATCATTAAGTTTGTTGGACACTCAAAGACCTTTTATAATTCATGGAAGATTCTCCATCTATTTCTATGGTGAAATAAATATTTGAAAATATTTTTAATCTCTATTGTTTTAGAAAGTCTATATGGAAAAACCAACAGGAGCAAAAAATGGGAAGACAAAGATGTCTGACTGAGGTCATCAGTCATTATTATGTGGTAGAAACCGCAGCTGATAGGGCCATCTGTGAATCACTGGCTCAGAACTAATTTCCACAGGAGTCAGTAGCTTCATGTGCTGCTTCATTTTGGTGAAGCCAGACAAGCAGACAACATAAGACTATATACTTTTAGCCTTTCATCTTCAGTTTGTGTATTGTGAACTGAGTACTAAAGCTTTACAAATCAACAAGTGAGACAGAATATTTTATTATCTTTTTTAATGTCCATAAAACAGAGTCTAAAAGCATTTTCAAGGTCTGTTTTGTCTGCAGGCATGGTGGCATATGCAAGTTCACACAAATTGCTGGTTTAAGTGTAGTGGTGCAAATCATTTGTTAGTGTAGTCAATAGTTTTCTAAAGAGTATGAACAAATTACTAGATATAACATGTATAAATACAAAATGGGAAACACTGAGCTAGATGAGGCTACTTATTGAAAAGACATGGGTATTTTTGTTAACAAATCACTAACATCTTCCAGGCAATGTGGGGAAGCAACACAAAAGGCAAACAAAATGTTAGGCTACAGTATATAGTCAAATATTTAGAATTCAAATTAAGTGATATTAAAATTGTACAATGCACATGTTAGGACTAATTTAACATCTTTTGTACAGTTTTGGTCAACATGTTACAAAAAAGATATTGCTGCTCTGAAATTTGAACAGAGGTGAGCAACCAGACTCATTCTGAGATATAAAGAAATATCCTACATGGGCTGAAAGAACTGATAATTTTTCTTCTTGAGCAGAGAAGAGTATGAGGAGAGATGCTATAAGACAACAGAGGAGACTTCTTCAATATGAACTGTGAAAAATGAACCAGTATTTCAAGACATGAGGAGAAACTACATCGATGTGCATTTAAAACCAGTTATAGGAGGCACTTCTTTACCAAAAGTGTTGTAGGAATATGCAACAATCTATCCAGTACTTTGGCTTCCTTCAATAAATGTCTGGATGAAAGCCTTGGATTACTGATAACCACCAAACTGACTAAATGATCTGACCTCTCATTTGCAACCTTTCTTATGTGATACTTTGTTTGCTTTCTCTAATAACAAACACGGTACTTAAAAGTGTTTTAGTTGAGATTTTTGTTCTCTAATTATCCAAATATGTAATATGCCTAGCCTGAAAATGACATTATACTGGTAAACATTATTGGATTTTCTCAATGAGATATTGCTTTTAAATTATCACAGTGGACACAGACAGTAAATGAATTGTTTTTGTTTCTATAGAAGTAAACAAACATACAGTATATGTAAATAAATATGTTTACCTCCATCACTTATACCTGTTATCCTTCTACTCAATGGTAACTGTACGCTTCACTATATATGAGGACAATATATTGTGTTCAGTTTGCAGTTCTTTAATATTTCTTAAGTAAATCTAATTAAACTTAAACGATTTTCTCTTCGTTTCTCACCTGTCACCATTTCTTGCAAATTTATACTTCAGTGATAAGATTTACTGCTACAGTATTTGTAGTTGGGTTCGTAGAAAGGACCAAGGTGAACTCTAGTGACCTCTACTGTCACAAAAGTGTAATCTCAGTAGAGTATACACATCCTGGAGAGCATTACTGTATTTTGATTATTTATAAACTTGTTAAAAATATAAAACACAAAAGATTTAAAGAATTCATAGAATTCTTGAAAGAATTCTGAAGATCTTTAAAGAACTCTGAATCTCTGCAGAAAATAATTTAAAGAATTAAATCAGCAACTTCCAGATGTATTCATGCCCATGATAATAGTGTTATACCATGTTATTAAGCAAATTAAAATGTGATTAAAATATATAGTATATAGCAAAATAGTTAATGTATCATTACCATAACTGTAAAAAGTAATTACATATTTCTGAATGCACAAATTGCTGATTATTGTGAGTGATATAAAATAAAAATCTATTTATCAGAGATACATAACTTTGCTATAAACATAGGAAAGCTGTTGTTTCACAATGACTGGAAATACAGGCAGAAGTGATCCCTGCAAATATACACCTATTGTTTAAGTCACAATTACTGTAACAGTATCCTAGACAGTAGAACAAACCAAAGGTTACCAGACAATTTTCACTTTTAATTTCAAATGTGTCAAAATTTAATTTAAAAACAGAAGTAATTGATCAATGTCAGTTTAATTAATCTTCACCAGACACAGATTTTAAATACAGGCACATTTTGTTTAAAGGTGGGTACACTGCAATTCAATTGTTTTTTTATTTACAAGATTACACAACATACAGTATACATGTTAAGAAATACTGTAAATGACTAAATTTATACATGAAAATAAGAAATATTAACTGCATAAACACTCAAACAAAATGATTAAATGCAAAGAATATTTTACTGCCACAAACCTAAAACATGTACACTGTGATGTGTTCTGCAAGAACATAAAGTGAATGTAATCGTGATTTCAGCTTTAGATCAATTCCAACATTTACTGGGTTTGACCAGTCCAATCCTCAAGGGGTGATTGAAGGTTCTGGTGAGGTATGACTCTTTGTTTCTTAGGAAAATGAATAGACCTCTAGATACTGAGTGAGCAGTTGTGTGGGCAAGAATCCTTTGATTTTTGGAGGGTACAACCTCATAAGGACATTAGATCATCCAGGAAAGTGATACTTGTGGAGTTTCCTGTAATAAGAGACTAGGGTTTTCCTTCAAGCAGGATCACTAGGACTGAAGGTGACCTGATTACCAAGCAAAATGAGTACTTTTTTGTTAGGAGAAAGAATAATAGGGTTTTATGGACCAGACATGATGCATATTAAGGATTGTGAATGGGACTAGAACAAGCATCATCTTGGACAAATTATTATTCCACATACAGACACCTATTTAGTAAGCCAAAAGAAATCATGTCAAAAATAACTCACGTTTCTGTTTTCCTTGCAAAAGCTGGGACACATAATTGTAAAAGAAGATGCTTCTATGGATTCTACATCATGGGAACTTCAAAGTTTTAAAACATTTCATTTATCAGTTTTGTTTTAATACTTAGTTATTATGTAAATAACTCATTCATAATACTTAGAGTACTATGAATGAGTTATTTACATATTTTTTCTCACAAAATTCTGTTCTGATTTTTGATACAGAAAGAACATTAAAATGATTCTTTATTTTCTTGACTGTGATAGTATTTGAAAAGTAGTTTCCTAATCCTATTATAATCCTATGAATCCTATCACAACTACCAATTTCGCAAAAAAAAAACATTCTGATATACTAGTTTTACTGTTTGCATTTCACATCAACACCAAACAGTCCTTAGTATGTTGACCGTATATCATTCTTAAATAATGTTATACCAAATAAATTTGGTTAGTTTGACTAAAATATGCTAAAGACTAAGATTTTAAAGTGTTTAATACAAGGCAAACATTACAATCAATCAACTCTTATTTTGGTGATTAATTTGAAATTACATTCAGTGGTATACCAAAACAATAACCAGATAGCATAAACATGTGTTTAGGCTGCAATAGTAATACTTTTGAATAACTACTGCATATTCAAATTCACACCTTTTTATTATTAAAGAACTTCTTGCAAAATAATACCATACCATATACAGAATAAGTACATATTAACATATTTAATATAGCTTAACATATCTTCTACCCCACAGCAGGTGAATCATTAACAGCTAACTGTGCAATGCCTTAGAATTCAATGCACCTCTAGACTCTGCACTTTTTACTGGATTATCACATATTTATTATCCTATGTGTTTATTGTTCTGTACTGACCGTTGTATGTTACTGCGCTTTGTTGTAATGTCATTAATTATGACTATTTACTGTTTTGTAAGGTAGTGAGTACAATAAATAGGTAGATAGTGTGAAAGTGGTGCCTATTGTACTGCACATGTCCTGAGAGAACAGCGTATTTGTACATGTGGCATACTCCTCTCTCTAAGCAAATAAAGAAATAGAAAAGGAAGCTTGTAATGATTTAATTTTTTAAAAACATTTACAACTTAATAGTATTTTGTACTTTTTTTAGAGCTTTATACTGTAGCTTTGTATCTGCAACCATTGTCAGTAACATTTTGCAAGTGAACATCTGGTCTATGGCCCCTGGTACAAAAAGGGGTTCTCTCTAAAATTCTCACCATCCTGGGAAGACCCTTACATTGTGCACAGTATTGTATACTGTACTCCCTCCCACCTGGTTGGAGTTTGTAATTCTACCATGGCTATGTGTGACTGGAGCTGTCAGACCCTGAAACTGAGAGCTACGGTTTATGAAAGGGGCAGTGGCCATGTGTCAGCCTGTTGCTGCATGTAGCTTGTGTTCCTAATAAACAGTGTAGTTCTCCCCCTTGTGATCATTCTGAGTCACAGTGCTTTTATTCTGAGCAAAAATTCAATTTCTTTTGATGAACCCATTGCACATATACTGTAAGTGGTACAATATGTTTCTGAACATGTCTACAAACAGTGTGTGATTAACATTTCTCTACTTTCTTATAATGATTGCATCAATGAAGAATAAATTAACCCATACTATTTTGTTCAGCTTGAGTTTTACACCATACTAATAAAATAACTAACAAACAAAAGCACAATAAAATATTTTTTCCAGACACAGCTTCAGCAACTATTATTTAACATCAGACTTTTCTGATGCTCAGATTTTATTTAGAAGGTCTACACGATCGTTGGTGGACAGTCAGTCTGTCTGGCAGGAAGGTACGCCCGCAGATATCACAGGGCACCAGCTGAGCTTTGGCACTTTGCCATGCTGCCTCATTCAGTGCCTCCAGATCATAGGAGCCTGTAGCTACAAAATTTAAATGAAGTAGTGTCATTTTTCATCTGGAGAAAAGGATATGGTTTATAAAAAATATCAGGAAATACCCAGTGGTAAAATACTTAAAATAACATTTTTTTTGTGACAAGGTTTGAACTTCTGCCTGTGGCCACATGAGCTAAAATAGGCCGTAACTATGATTTCTAAAACAGGTCCACATTCATGCAAACAGTGTGTACACGGTGTGTATATAGGCTTACTTTACATTAAAATTAACCTACTCAAACTCTGCAGCAATATGTAAATTTAGATTTTTTTCTAGATCACACATGCTAAATATTAAAAGGTTAGAAAATGATTCATGACTGAAAATAACTCAGCTGGCCTCAGAAGATTTAACTTTTTACCAGCTGCAAAGATGTTTTATTGATTTGCTTTGGGGGTATTTAAAGCTAAAACTGTTTAAGAAATTGTGATGTCTGACTTTTCATCACAGGCTTTTTAAAATATTCTTATAATGGAAACAAGAACAAAAGTTAAAGATAAGGCGACTATCAATTAACACTGAGTTTTGCAGAGTTTATACTGAATCTGTATAAGTAATGCAAATAAAAAAACGTCATACTCACATTCTACCATCCTTATTTCTGGCTTTCTGGGCTCTGCTCTTTGAAGTTGTTTTGGCAACTTGCTATTTTCCATGTGCCATTTTTTCAAACACTGTGGTTCATGGATACTGATTGATTTGGTTCCAAATTCTCGCCCACAAATGTAGCAAACCACTGTCACTGGGCGCTTCACTATTGCTGGCTGAAGGAAGAAACATTGACCAAAAAATGAAAGATTTGTAAAGTTTGATTAAATAATGAGTTGAAACTATTTATTAACAATAAATAAAATGAGTAGTGTGCTTTTCAAATACAAAGGGAATTTATCTACAACAAACCTTTAGGAATTATACATTCTGATCAGCGATTCTTATGCCTGCTTTCTGAAGAAGTGCTTAAATTATTCTCTTGTTATTTTCAGAAGTCCTGTATTTATACTGTATGTGCTTTTTTATATGGAGATAAATATAATGCAGTAACTATTTATCTGAAATGCCTTCCATTAAAATTAAATCAGGAATCAGTGATTAGGATTCAGAAAAACACTAAGGGTGGGTTTACATAAACAGCTCTAATTCAACACAAGTGAGAGTTTTTGGTAGCACTTTATATGAATGGTTTACTACATGGATTAAATAGCCTCTGTTGTAAGAAAACAATACACAATATAACAGTACAATACATGAAGTAATTAGTTGATATATGTGCAATATAACAAAGTTTACATTTTTAATATACACATGCAAAGTTGAAAAAGTTGTAAAGAATCATTGGTGTTGTTTCTAATGTCATGAATGTTTTGCGTTAATTGCACGATGTTGCTATACGAAAGCTAAATGCAGTTTTTCTTCTGACAAAAGGCATACTTCCTTATAGTCCAAATAAATATCTGATATTGTACTATGTCAAACACTTTAAATTTAAAACGTATTTTTTATAAGATATCATCTTAGACTAAGGCATATATTTAACAGCTTTCATGTCCATGTACAAACTGAACATTATTGGCTGCACTTTTATGTCAAAGTAGTTACAGTAACTTTTTGCTTAAAAGCCTGTTCTGCTGTCTATATCCTCTTAAAATGCAAGTAAATGAAAATACAAATAGTTATTTTTAATCAGTATTTGATGAGTACAAGCTTGAAATAGTTACAGCACATGTGGCAACAGATAAATATGATATTCTCTCTGGATTTGAACATTCCGGCCTTTAAATGATTTGCCATTTAAGAACAAGTTGCTGCCAAACCACGTGAGCTGTGCTTCCTCTAGATGGCAGCCATTGCTATTTATGATTGTAGAGAGTCTGATAAAGGGAAAAGTAAAAAAAAATGGTTTCATTGAGGTGGCTAGAAGATTACCATGGTACCTACAGTACAAAGTGTAGGTTACCAATCAAGCAACTTTATCAATGTATATTCATATTTATCTTAATGAGAGTGTGGAATTCTAAAAAGAACACTCCACTTAACACACAAACTGTGTACATACGTTCTGCATAGAAATTAAACTGAAAAAACGTAGGAGACCACTGTTTAAAGCAGAAGAAGTAATGCATGAATGAGCAGTTTGAGTGCTTTATTAATTTATCTTTGTATCATTAGAGGTTCAAAAAATGAAAAAGAAACGTTTTTTAAAAGTTTTATACAGGAGCTCCCTCTAGTGCTCATTAATTAACTTTGTCTAAACAGGAAAAGGAAATGGAACAGCTTTCAATATACTGTAACATTTTATATGATGGCAAATGCATTAAAGCCGCATTACTTTAGTGGCCCTTATCATTTTGCAATTTAATAAATCTAAAACCAACACAAATTATCCTTCATTTATGTTTCCTCCTGTCTATTTCACTTTCCTTAATTTTTTCCTTTAATTAATTCTTAATGAAGACTACATTTTTTAAAGTTCTCTCTTTCCTTTGCATGCCTTTTAAGCTATGAAACTAAGTCAGACTGGCCCCAACATGGCAAAACTCACTCAAAAACAAACATGGCTTCATTTTTTGTTCAATCAGAGTTTCTGTGGTGAAGAACAGAATAGCTCTGACCTTCCAAACCTTCTGCCTGGGAAAGTCATGATCTGTTTTGAACAAACCATGGTTCCCAGACTAGGACTGGCAATTCAGCACAGGCAGAACCTTGCAGGGAATGTTTAAGCCTTAACAGCATGTTTACTGACAAAACACAGAAGTACAAGTATAAACCTCTGTTAGTCTAATCTCCAGTATAGAATTTTACTACTCTTTTGATTTATAGCCCTAATTAGCATTATTTTTTTTAGATTATGTGATTGTAATAGAAAAATTGTGAGCAATATATATATTGTTTTTGTTTTGTTTAGTACTCAGTGTATGAGAGGAGTTTTTTTGCGCTACTGTTTTGAAAATGTTAGGAATTGTAAAGTATAAATTATGCAACTCAGTTCTCCTCAGATCAGGAATTCAGGCAGGATAATAAACCACAGCCGTCATAGAACAAACAAATCCAAAATTAACCACTCCCATGATAAAAAAACAAACATTTGCAGCAGACTAAATTAGTCATAAAAATATTTTTTTTCTGCAAAACAATCCCTGAATTATAATACCTGTCTGTATATGCTAAGACCCATATTTAGATCAAGTGTAAAAACCTTAGAAAACTTAAATTGTCTGTGGTTGCTGGTAATGAAAAAGCAATGGAATGCTCTCAATAATTTTAGAGACACACATTAATCTAGAAAAAATGTTTTGTTAACTGATGAATCTGGGGAAAAAAAGCCACACAGCTTTGGGGAGAACATAAGTTCCACAAAGAGGGTCAGAAATTAACCAAGAGCTAAGACATGTAAAAT